CTGTAGGCATCTAAAAATGCCTATGGGTGTCCGCACACGGCTCGAGACAGAGAGAAGATGATAAACGTCACTATTAGAGTCGCAGGAGCTCGTTTGACAATGACAAACACATGAAGTGAGTCGACGGGTCATACAAAGCAACGGAACTTCGGAATAATGGAAACGAGAGCTGATCGGGAGCCCCACGTCGTTTACAAAAGGCGGAGCACCCCTCGTGTCCCATTTATTCCACATATGATTCAATTATGGGAGCCTGTAGATCTCCTCGTCGGCTTTCCAACGCATCTTCAATCGCCTCATTCCGAGGTCAGATGAGTGAGTTAAGACTGTTACTAACCGTGGGTCGGACTGGGGTGCTACAGTAACTGCGGGTCGGTTCTGGGGGTGCTATAGTAACCACGGGCGGGCTGGGCTACAGTAACAGCGGTCGGACCGCGCTACAGTGATCTGACCGCACAAAGAAGTAAAGTTTTGACTATGCTGCGATTTGAATCTGAAAAATCTCAAAACATAAAAGTTATAGATCTCTTCGCCAGCTTTCCAACGCATCTTGAATCAGCCTAATCAGAGGTCGTACGAAAGAGTTATGACCAAAATACCGAAGATATCTCAAACTGACCCGCGCAGCGGCGGGTCGGATCAGTCCGACCCGCGCGGCGGCGGGTCGGATCAGTCCAACCCACGCCCACGTGGGTCGGATCAGTTCGTCTCGCGTCCAAAACTGCCTGTAACCTCCAAAACGCATTTTTAGACTGTTTCGATCGGTTTCTTCTGTTCTAGAGGTTCATAACTGCCTAGATATCATCCCCAAACGTGGTTAATCAGTTATTAACTGAAGATAATGCCAAATCACTCATTCTCATCCACAAACCCGCATCCGAAGCCCTATAAATATAAGCCTAGGGCCTCCTTTCAGCAGGCGGAGTTATTATCAAGATGTGGAGGTGCTGCCGGATTGAGGAGTCAAGGAGCACGATTTTCAGCGAAGGCAAATCAGATCTCGGTGAACTTCGGCATAAAGAAGAAGTTATTCGAAGGATCTGAACCCCGTCCGTCCTTCCCTTGAGATTAGGCTTGGTCTTAATCTCGAGAAGAGTTCTGATTTCGCTTGGTCGATCTCAGCGCTTCAAATCAAACACTACCTCGGTGAAGGCGAAGCTCTGCCGAATTTTCCATTAACCGGATCCAGATCGACGGTCGTCCACGGATAAACCCCGGCACAGGCAAAGATCCCACGCAAGCAGAAGACCGATAAACGATCTCTGCGTTTGTTTGATAAAGTTGTAAATTTTTTTTATTTTCATTGTGTAACGAGATCTTATAAAAAGATCAACTTTTTATTTTATTCGAGTTTATTGTAACGACTAAAGTTATAATAGATTCGATAGCAATGAAAACAACAACTTTTGACGCAAACAAACCTTACAATTAGTTCTATTAAACAAAAGTATTAAACATGAAAACCTTAATAAAAGAAGCCATAGTTACCTCAAATCATTTCTACTTCTTCATGTCTCTCTCATTAGGATTTGTATATTCTTGTCTAATATAGAGGCTTCCTATCTTCATGACTGCTTGAAGTACTTTGTGGAATTTCCGACTAATTGTTTCATTTAAACGATAAAAATCTGTTTTGCTTATTCTATTTTTTACATTATGAGCTAAAATATGCAAAAACATAGCGACAATTTCTTCAATTATGACATTTCTTGATGCTACTAATCCCCCTCTAGTACATAGAACATCACATAACCTCTTAAACGCTTGAAGATTCATCCTTTGTTGTTCAACACAGTTATTTGCATTACAAATAAGAGTACGAATCCAAGACTTTCTAAGGTATGTCCTTTCATCCTCTTCTTCGTGTGTTCTTAAACTCTCTTTCAACATATGCTTCGTATAGTACCAAGCACCAATGACAGCAACTATAAAACTGACCACTACCACAATAATTTTCTCATCATATCTCCTCTTAAATTCTTCCCTTGTACGTTTATGTTGGATCCTTGAATCCCTTCCATCATTTATTATTTTTAACCTATCACATTAAAAGTTGAACATGCAAGCAGATTACACATATATCCTGAATATATATTTAGCAGGATACAAATTTAATAGAGTCCTAAGAAAAAACCACTTAAGACATAGAAATGAGGAAATACAGCAGGATATTTAGCAAATTACATTTAACTTTCAAGTCTTTTCTGCTCCTCTATGCTATTCTTCTTTGCTCTGACATCTTTATCTAACAAACACAAACAACATGATATACAGTTTTGACTGGCTTTCATATAATGATGCTTATCGAATCATGAACAAGATATAGATAGCATAACATTTCTACTTTATATATACATTTCCACTTTATATATACCAAAACTTTAAAAACTAACCAGGAAGCATTCAGATGCATTTCTACGTAGCATATGTAACTGAAATAGTTTTACCCCTATGAGTCTGAACTGTGAGTCTTCTTATCAGTAACATTGGTTACCTTCCTTACTGAGGTAAAAAAAAAAATTTCTTTAATTGTTATTTTTCTGAACCAAAATGCTACATAACCAACAAAGCCTTTATAGACCAATCTTTTGAAGTCAGCTATTTTTCCGGACAAAAAATTTACGCAAGATATTTTGTACCAATTGATTATTAATAGCCTAGTAAAAGTTTTATGGACTCCTCGGATACACATTCAAAAATCTTACACCCTCTATAAAAAATATTAACTTTGCCCTGAAGGGTTTTTATTACAAATACAACCAAACTGTCATATGTGAATTATAGATTATCAAGTGCGAGTTCACAAAGAATTTTTCGAAAGAATGCTACATATAACAGGAACAAAAAGAATTTCAAAGTGGCCATCATAATCGAGCGCAAAATATGAGATGATCACTACTAATCGAGCAAAAAATCAATTCAGTCAACATTCCTAGTTCCATGAATAAAAATATCAGTTCCATCACCAGAAGAGGAAAAAAATCAACCTCTACTATCAAAAACTTCAAATAAACAACATCCCTAGTTCCATGAGGGCTTACATCATTCAGTTAATTCATATAAAATTACTCTCAGGATAGATTTTTAGAATTGATTTAACACCCAATTAATGATATACATGATCAAGACCAAGAAAGCTGAAGAAAATGAGGGATACCTACATCCTCAGAGCCTAAAGAAACATCCAAAAAAATTTAAAAATTAAAAAACAGCAAAAATTGAAGCCATACCTTGAATCCCAATCAGAAACTACAGAAGCTTGAGGAGAGCAACCGAAAGGGAGGAGGAAACAAGCTACAAAGAGAAAAGCCAAGTCAGAGTTCAACAAAAATTTGTTGCCACGACCTAGGGTTTCGATGAGTGATCATCTCATATTTTGCTTTGATCTAGGGTTTAAGCCACGAAGATCACGACCTAAACCCTAGATCAGATCTAGGGTTTCGATGGATTGGGGAGAGAGAGAGAGAGGAGAAAGAGGGAGAGAAACCCTAAATTAGAACTTGAGATAGATGTTACTTGCTGCGTTGAGAGAGAACTTGAGAGTCGAGATCGGGACTGAGAAATGAGAGAGAGGAGGAGTCAGGATCGGGGATCGGGGATCGGGAGTGAGAAATAAGAGAGAGGAGTGAGGATCGAGATTTGGTAAGTACCTAAGGGTAGGCTGTGATTTGAAATATCAGTATTTGGGCTTTCAAATTCTCATGTTTAAGATAATTTGATTTAAAATCTCAGCCCAATTTAAATCCAAACTAAAGATTTGGATTTGAAATACCCAGAATTTTAAATCTAAGGCCCAAATCCAAGTTCCCAAACACAACCTAAATTACTTTAGGTCCCTCAGTTCTAAGTTCTAACGATGTAACACTGGGTTTTGATAGAGCTTTTTAAGGAGGGGAGGGGGCGGGAGGGGAAGGTTTACAATGCTAACCCTCCTAGCATTGTGTTTGTTTATACTCTTTGGTACCGTTTGGCAAAGGGTTAAGTGAGGGGTTAATGAGATTTAATCCCTTCTTAACCCGCCAAACACAAAAAATCTATACGATGGTTAAAGTGAGTTAAACCTCCATAATTTACCAAACATAAAAAATATAGAAGGGTTAAGCTAACCTCTCTAGAGGGATTAAAATAAGTTAACCCCTCAAAATAAGGGGTTTACTAATACTCCTATTTAGAAGGATTAAGAGTTAACCCTTCTAATTATAAAAAAAATAGTTAAAATCATTGTTATTCCTAAACACTAAAACTGGTCACAAGGACTAAAATAAAACTTATTTAACTGGTTAATAATTTAGTCCTTCTTTTTAACCCAAACACTAAAACGTGGCCTTTAGTTAGTAAGGGGAGGGGATGGGAGGGATCGATGAAAATTAGAAAATTTAGCAACTTTCTCAACCTTCTAAAAGTAGACAGATTGAGAGGGGAGGGGAGAGATTTCAAGTGGAATTTTTTTTAAACTAGTTGGATTGCACGTGCAATGCACGTGGTAAATTTTTTTTTATTTGTTTACAATATATAATTTTATTTAATTAAAAATTTTATTATTAAGTTATGGAATGTAAACAATGTGTCAAACACATAGACATAATATAAACATTCAACATTTTAACAATGAAATTACATTTATTGATTGATTTGGAGATAGTACATTGGTTGCATCTATTACGTGATTAATCAATCAAATACAGTCACAAGGATATACCTAATAGTAATGTTTGATGATGTGGATGTAATTTCAATCTCATGGCATTCGAAGCTTGACTAAGCCTTTGCAATATGTAATATGTTAGTATATATATTCACGCATGAAAATTTCACATTCCCATATAAATTGCAAAACACTCATTAAACTTTGTATAATCAAACATTATTAATAAGGTCGATGAGCAACTTTCTAAGGGCATGGGATTTGAAATATAAACAACAGATGAATATTCCCGAGGATTATTTGAGAACAATCATCAGATAATCAAAGACTGTCAACACATCCAAACACAAATAGATGAACACCCTTGGCTTCAAATCTCGAAATACTATTGGATACTCAAAACATATGCAAACACAGAAAGCAAACGAAATCAACACATTCAAACTGTAGTATGTACACAATAAGTGAAAATTAACCCCTTCAAACGACCTTAAAACGAAACGCTTCAACTGAATTATCATCACACTAATATCATCATCAGCGGAATTATCATCACACTAATATCATCATCAGCAGAGCCTTGATTAGCAGAGTGATCAGCAAGCTTTTTACAAGCATAGAGTGGTGATGAACACTGGGGGTCTGTGCAGAAGGGTTGAGATATATGTACAGTCTCCTTTGCTAACCTATAAAGTTAAAGTAGGAACAATGTCATATCTCTGATCACTGCCTATATAGAGGATAACACAACAATGATATAAGTTAAACCTGAAACTCACCTTCCTTATCCCACAACCCATCACATGCGAGAATTAAAAACTTGAATTTGGGTTTAATTGGAAGGATTCCTGTTTGTGGGTCCGGTATGACAAATTGTTTCAAATGAGAGTCTTCAATTCCCCTAGAAACAAACGGCCTACAAAAATTACAAGTCCACAGAAATTTACTAAGCTTGACACAGGTTAACCCGAAAACATTCAGAATTTCAATTTTTAGAGGGTGTCATGAGGTTAATTTATCATCATCTGATAAAGTTTCTGCCTTCCTCCGACCAAATGAAAGCTACATCCATCTCCAGGCTTCAGCTTGTCCTTGCCATTTGTTCGTCATGTACAAGTAGGGTCTCCTCTATCGCCAAAAAAGGCCAATGCTCCAAATCTGACCCTTTGGGTCTCTAATCCTCACTTCCTTGTCTCCAACTGCAATGTCGCCTGATTTTCTAGACTTTGCTGGAATCAACTGGAGGGGTAAAATTCTATACATATAAATATCATGTATAATGTGTATAAGAATGAGATATATGTGAGTGAAACTGAGATGCAACATAGAGTGATAGAATCTTACAACATTAGAGAATTTTAGGTGATACTCCCTTATGAAGATCTCAAAATGTCCTTTGATGATGCTGGATCGCCTAGTCTTTGACATAGTTGAAAAATCCATAGGTACAACTTGCTCTTGTGGTTGATCTGTGACAGTATGCACCAATTACATTGGATTAATTGTCATTGAAGAAAGATGTTATTTGCATTTTAGTCCCTCACATCTTAAATAATTAAATATTAGTCCCTCAAAATTTTTACATTGCTCATAAGACCCTCAGTTTTATCCTTACCATCAGCTTGTTCCTAAGGGATCTTGCAGTTTGGTTCCTCTGTCGCCAAAATATCCCTAGGTTGTTTTCTTTTTAACATTGACGGGTTCAAGTTTACATCAGAAAATGATACATAACTCATATTGTAATTATATTTACTCTTTCCTCTTTTTTAACTTTTACAGAGTTAAACCCACCGAACGCATATGTCCTATTCAAACAAATTTTCTATTTCAATAAAGCATGCACATTAACATATAAACTCATCAAATTTAATAAAAAGTGACACTAAACCTACGGTGAAAATTATTGTTGATGTTTCAGTTTCTAAACTTCTAAAAAACCAAAACCAAAGGCACACAAACGTGTAACAAACAGTTCTGTTACCACAATCATTCACATTAGCAAAAAGACTTTTGTACGCATATAGCTAAAAGTACCTTGTAATCACAACAGGATTTTCTTTATCAGAAGAATGAACTTCTGCCTTTACTTTTGTGGTCATGCCACCTCTTCCCACCCTCGATTTGTCCCCGAAAGTAATCTCCTTCTGACGTTTTTCCTTAATGTATGTATGTATGATCCTCGAATGAGGTTCACCGGGCGGGCCACTATACAGGCCCTCAACATCACAAAGCAAGACGAGGAGATCAGCCTTCAACTCCAGATCCATTAGGGCTGCTAAGCTATCATTGTCCCAAAAGATACCAGAGGAATCCTGAAAATAAGACACACTTTAAGGTGAAGACAGATTTAAGAGGCTGGATGACTCAAAAACATGTTAAAAGCCAACAAGGGATCCTAACCATGATAGACAGGAGGAAGTTCAAGGGCCTATAGTTTACGGACCTTAGGGTATATTTTTAAGTTTCAATCTTATGTCTTGTCCTTTTGGTGTGATACGTCAAAGAAGAAACTGAAGCTTGAAAACTTAACTAATAAACCTAAATGAAATCATCAATAACTTATGTGGACTTTTTAGCCATTATCTTGAGTGATAGGACTATTATAAACAAATTTTGTTTGTAAGTTGCATAAGAGTTATTGACATTTCTAAAGAAAAAGAACATCAAGGAAGTATTATAAAAAACAAACCAAATGAGAAAAAGAATTCCTCATTGAAGGTCCATATGGAAATACACCTGTATAGCATTGTAAGGTATTATTGTTATTGAATGACAATGTACCTCATAATGAGCTCTTCGCGTGCTGATTGCATCATTTTCATTAAAAACATGAACGACTCTGAGATTCAACAAGGAATTGACAGTATCAATAAGCTGCATCCTGAATCCTGGATCTTTAAAATCACTATCAGTCACGACAAGTTGAGATGATGCCACGTCCAGCTGCATAGAAATTTCATTAATTAAGAATTTTAAAAAAATTATCATGATATAGATTGACATGCAGAGGATTAGAGAATAAATAAACAAATAATGACAAAAGGATATTATAAATTTTTGAAAAAACACCCTTAGGAGCATACCTGATTGAATAAGGCATCAGACCTGAATGTAAATTCACAAAAGGGGTAGAACAGGGCTAATTCATTGGAGCCCTTTTTAGTCACTGAAAACTCAGTGGAGAGGTAAGGCGTCCAGCAATAATTTAATCTTCAAGCGAAGCCGATGGAAAACAATCTGTTTACTTCCTTAATGTTCACTGTGCCGACTTTGAATGTTGCTGTTGCATTGGATGATGTAATTAAGGGTATTACTTAGCTAATCAAGATAAGGAGAGCTGTATGTCTTTTTGAGATATGACTTACTGGGCAAGTGTGAATGAAACAAACAAAATTACAGTCTGATTGCTAAACCCCTCGCAAGTTGGGTTTAAATAGGTGAAATAATAATAACAATAACTCAAATAGGATTGAACCCTTTTGAGTCAATTGAGCGGGCCCAAGTAGATTAACCTAGCCCTCTTCTTTTCCAACCCTAACAGAGAACATAATATAATCAGGAGTTCTTCGGGTAGTATATGAATTTCATATGCATACATTCTGATGCATTCTGAAACGATAATCCATAATATAATAGATAAATACTCTGAAAAGAGAAGTTAACTTATATTAAATACATCCTGTCTCGACAGTTTCTATATGATCATAATAACAAAGACATTCATAATCAATCATTAGTAAATCCTAGCAAATAAGATCAACTTGTAAATTCAATAATGACAAACAAGAGCCAGAAGCACCTGGTCATAAAGCGACCTCTTCTCTTCATCCTTTAGAACCTGCATAAAGCAAAAGAGCACAAGTATTGCTTATAAAGAAATAAGAATAATAGATTAAAACTTCACTATGACAAAGTGAATAACCTAAAAATAACACATCTTAAACAAGTTACCTCATAAGCACGTGACACTTCTTGGAATTTTCTTTCTGCTTTAGCATCATTTTTATTTTTATCAGGATGGAGCTTCTTTGCAAGCTGGAAAAGGACATCAAGGGAAAATAAGTACCAAAGAAGCTACATATAGGTTCCACCACGAGTAAGCAAAACTAATACATGCAAATTTAGCATACAATTCAAAAATAAAAAATTCTGAACCACTTTTCTAAGAATTATGCTTACAAGTCAATAAAGTTCTTGAGAAGGATGAACTGATATTTCACAGCCATGCAACTTGTTATCAAACATCCTCCACTGATCAGTGCCACATGGCTGATGAGCATGTAAGACAAGGCTATACAAAGGAAACTTCATGGCGAAACAACATATTGGAAATCATGGTCAGCACAAAGAATGTCTCTATGATTACCAAGGAAAACAAAGTCTACTAATACAACATGTTTTAATATAGGAATCTAACCCATAACAAAGACATTGTATGAGCCTAAAAGAAATGAGATCACCACCTGAGAAAATGTTAGCGATACAATAACAAATTTCCATTTTCCACTTGACATGTATATTTGACGCTTCATGAATCACGATTTAAGTTGTATAAGCATTGTGTAAACTTCGAAAATACACAATTTAGAGTGCAAATCAAACTATATGTATCAATCTATCTAAGGAGATGAATAAAAACAACATAAAACAGGTCAACAAAAAATGATAACTCAATTCTGCAGAAAATTATACATAAAAAGCAAAAATTAGCATGGGAGACCTACAGCAAAGGGACATGAAGCTTACTGCATAATAAGCTTTCTTAATTTCTAAAGCAGTTGCATTCTTACTCACTCCGAGTATATTATAATAGTCCCTTGCAAGCGCCGGCCTTGTTCCTAAAGTAATCAAAAAATAAGCATTAAGTAAAGAAAAATAAACTTTTAAAAAACATTAAATTTATTCAATAGAGACAAAACCTACCATGAAAATTCCTCTTATTCATATAAAAGATGCCACTTTGAACACAACTCGTCCATTTTCCTACACAGTTTACTCCTCATAAAATAAAACCCCAAAACCAATTAATTCATAATACAATCAAGAACGTACCTTTTCCCCAGTTGGAGTCTGAGGAAACCGTTTACCTCACTTCTAGTAGAGTTGTCCATCATAACAGATGGTCTTACAGTAGGTGTTTGAATAGGAAGAATTCGTAATATCATACAAGCTGGACGATCTTCTTTCGGTTTGAAACCTAGTAGTAGGCAATCTTCATTGATTATCCTTTTAAGAACACTGATAACCTGGCCATGTCATAAAACAGGAAAAAAATAAATTTGGACTACTTAAAGAAATAAATTAGAATAACAATTTTGCAAAATTAGCTACCTTCTCTGTAGAAAGCTATTGTTTCCTCTCAAAAGTTTCAGGAATCTGTGCTTGGTCATCAGATTTCTTGCAAAGGACTCATCAACAATAGTTTGTGTGCAGTATAGATAAGTAAAAAATAGTTGACATGAAAATTTAAAGTAATAAAGTGAACTATTATCTGAATATGTATTTAGATTAACACAATTGAATGTTAAATTTAAGCTAATAACTACAATAACAATCAAAGCATGCAATAGTTATCAGACAACTATATGAGCATATGTTTATAAATCATAATTTGTCCTAACAAATTAAATTCATCAGTTCATAATCTTAAAAGCATATGAAAAGTTCATTCGAAATCCTTCAACCAATTTGTAAATGTAATGAAAATTAAAAATTGTTCATGTTTAATTTTTGTGGGCTCTTGATCAAGACTTCTCCATCTTTATCTTCATTTTTGGTAAATTGAGAACTGAATCATCGTCATCAATGTTGATTGTGATGTCTTCTTGGAGTTGGATTTCTTGTGCTATTATCTTTCCTTGTGCACGTTCATCCTTTGAGTTCTCATCCAACTTTACAAGGAACTTGTATGTCTTTCCGATGTTGAGAACAAACTTTTAAAAGAATGAACTCTGATTATTTTTCTGTTTTAATGAGGAAAAAATTAAGATCTTATACATGAAACATATTGTTTTATATGTATAAAATATAATAAAGTAAGAAGTTACCTCTTTTATATCAGCCATGAATTTTTGAGGCTTGCATCCTATCAAAGTTTCTGCTGCATCAAAAAGTGTTACTCTTGCATTATCTGTCGCATCTTCAACTATGATTTTAACCGCATACCTACATTTTGTATTATCATTGTGCATCAGATGATATTTTTATATTTAATATTTATATTTTTCTTTCATGAGTAATTGATAGTACTTTACCTTGGTATACAATCTTCATTGTTTTTTTCCAATTTTGACATTTGTCATAAATAGGTTTTTCTACTTTTTTATTGCAGCCTTTGCAAGAGTAGTACCAAGCCTCATGCCTATTTAAGATATTAGTTATTTTTGCCGTAAAGCTGCCATATTGTGCCTGCAGAGTTGTAAAAATTTAGTTAGTTATAATTGTAGTTTACATATATTTAGTAAATAAAATAATAAATTATAAAATAATTGGAAAAAATAGTAAAAAATGATTTTTTAAAAAAATTAATGTAAAAGTAATAAGTGTAAATGTATTTGAAACATATTTAGGATAACTTATATATATTCAAAATATATGATTAGAAAATAAATATTTTTTAGGGAATATAATTTAAAAAAATTATGTTTACTTTATATCTTATCAATTTACAATGTCATATTGAATGATCAAGTCCAAGAGAGGAAAATGTGGAGAGCACGATGAATATGACATTGTAAGACAAGTCATACCAACCTTATTTTAACTTCCAAAATAAACAGACTCTTTAAGAACACAAATGTCTATACTCCTTTATACTCCTCTTCAGGTTTACACTCTACGATTCCATTTCACCGTATAATTTTACTGTAATGGCTCCAGTGTTCTGAATCAAAATTTTGTTGGCCAACAATTGTTCTTCTATCTTTTGACACGGACATATTTTGACATGGACATATGTCAGTTTCAGATGTAGTAGATGGCTACTACAAAAGGATTTTGGACTATTAAATCAACACAATTTATGGTTACCTGGAAAGAGTTTTGTATTTTCAAATCAAGACACTTATTTAAACATAATTGTAAAACATGTATTGGTTACCTGGAAAGAGTTTTGTATTTTCAAATCAAGACACTTATTTAAACATAATTGTAAAACATGTATTATTCATACGTTAAAAAGATGCAGTCTCAACATTGCAAAGGACAAATTTACATCCATACTCGGTGGTTAATATGACAATTGGAAAGCTTATAATGAAACAAGAAGGAAGCACAACTCAACAATGTTGGACTAAATAAATTTCAGAAAGAACCAAAGAATAATGCATCTTTACCATCAAAATTTTGAAGATGAATCCTTTTGTATTTTGAATGTGATCAAGCAATCTACCAGGGGCAGCTACTAAAACATTTACTCCCTTTGCAAGGTGCTCTGCTTCTCCTCTTCGGGCCGCACCACCAATCACATACCCAAGAGTCTGTGAATGGTATTTCAGAAGGTCCTTTGCACTCTATGTGTCTGCATAGCCAAGCATAAATAAGTAGTGTTCCAAGTTTAACTACTATAACACAAACCCCAAGTGGGGTTTGCAATTTCAATTGAGGATCTGAACTCGATTGTGAATGCCATGTCATCCAACAGAATGAATAGGGTTTCAATCTAAATTTGACATGTCCTTTTTAATTTCAAATGTAACAGGACAATAAACACTTCTTTAAAAGATAAACTAAACAAAAAATAAGTCTAAAGTCTAAATGTGAACCCTCTAGCTAGAGTTTTACTATTAGTACCCAAAAAAAATTACTCACCCATGTTTTTGAAGTTGTTTATTGCTTTCTTGGACAATGTCCTTAACTTAGAATTCAACCCAAGACTTTACAACTACACAGTCACAACTGTGTCTGTGTAGATGATGGAAATTGGCAAAGGGAACTACTTTCATCTTTAGAAGATTAAGAGCAATGCATAATAATAATTAGAGGATATATTTCAAATTTGAGTTCATAAGATACTTACTTGAATAGCAAGTTCTCTAGTTGGGCAAATGATGATGACTCCAGTTCCATTCCAATGAGTAAACTTGAGGTGGTGCAATAATTCCACTGCCGGTATCAAGAAAGCAAGAGTCTTTCCGGAACCCGTTTGTGCAGCTCCCATAACATCCTTGCCTTGCAGTAAATGCGGAATAGCTCTAGCTTGAATCTGCAAACATAAAGCACGAAACTAATTGTCTGAGCTTAAACAAACTTCTTAGTGATGAACTTAAAATCAACCAACAACCTAGACTAAAGAGAAGCCAAAAGGAAATCATAACAAAGACTATCCGAAATGTATATAATGCCAACTTTCATTTAAAGTACAGCCCTCACGACCATTACAGTTAAAACTTCAAATGCAGTAACAAAGAGATAATCTCAAAATCCTAGAGCCCACTCAACACTAACCAATTGTTTAACAAAGAGTTGGTTTTTTATGCAATAATCACAAAAGTGCATTACTTCCAACCCTAATTGTTTACAAAAAGGGCTAAACCTTCATGTTGTAATCGTAAAATGCATTAACTTGGGTACATTCAGCTAACTTGACCAAACTAAAAAAACTTCTCAAATAAAATACCAGTAAAGATTCAGACTTCAATCAATAATTACAAAACCCACAAACCCTAAACCATAATTAAGCCCTAAATCTACCGAAAAAGAAAGAAAAGTTATTTCACCCGCGTCATATTCTCAAATCCCATCTCCTTGATAGCCATCATCGTCTCCTTCGAGATGGGTAGTTTGGAAAAGGGCTTCGGTGTCATTATGCTCGACCCATTGTTAGATTTCGGAGCTTCTTTTTCCACCACTTCTTTTGCACTTTCATCCCCGGCTTCTTCATCAATCTCATCCGTAGTCTTCTTTACCTTCTTCTTCTTCTTCTTAGCTTTTGGAGCCTCTTCTTCTTCTCTTTCCTCAAAGTTTTCACTTTGGCCCCCAATTTCTTCATCGTTTACCGCTGCGACTTCTTCATCTTCCTCTTCTTCTGGATTTGGCCTGTTCTTTCACTTCTTCATCTTCCTTTTCTCGGATTGAGACATTCAAGGCGGAAACATTTTGTTTTTTTAGAGAGAAAGTCTGAAATGAATGGAGCCTGAAAGGAGGAGAATATAGGCGTAACCGATGAAAGGGTAAAGTGGTTTATGAATTCAGGATACGTTTGGTAACTAAATTTGGTGGAGGGCTATTTTGGGGAAGGTAAAGTTTTTTATGAACTCCCTCTTTTAAAGGGTGTATAAATAGATTTTCAATATTGCCCTATGTGAGAAAACCAAAATGTGTTTATTTATTAAAAGGGCATGCTTGTTAAGTAGCTCATCTTCCATTCTCATCACTTACTCTAAACAAACACATATTATGGTGTACCCTCCCATCTCCATGTTTTCCATCCAAGCACAAATGAATAAATTTCATCCTTTTTCTTTCCGCTCTCTCCATTTGAATTTAAGTCAATCACTCCCCTTCCCTTCCCTTCCCTCCTTTGTGTAAAAATCGACCGTAAAAAGTTGGAGGACGAAGTGGATATTTCAAGGATTAGAGGAACTAATTGTGGGACAACTTATAAAATTGAGGGAGTTAGCAATAATTTCAAATTTAAGGGAATAAATAGGAAAACAAATTTCTAAAGTAATACAAATCCCTATATGTGAAGGGAATCTTTTGTTCTCTAAAGAAAGAGTTGTATCTTGAATTATCATGGACTATGGACGTAATCTTTATAATTACAACAAATATCTATAAATAATCATGAACGTGATTTTCATTTGAGTAAATGAATTTATTATTATCATCGTCATCTTCTTCATCATTGTCGTCGTCATCATTATTATCATCATTGTTATTATTATCTTGGTATTTATCATTTCGCATCATCAGGGACAACATATTTTTTGTTCAATGGAAGCAATAGTAGAATTTCTTGCGAGATTTTCTAAGTATACATATCTTCAACACATAGCTATATCTTGAATTTTAAAGGGAGAAGTATTTCCCAAGAAAAATGAAGGAAAGCGTTTATGTAAGTCAATTGTATGAGTGGGAGGATATTTAGAGGAGTTTAGGGTCTCTTAATTTTCTCCGATGATTGATTAATCTGATGGAAACAAATCATTGCACAAGTAATACTCGTTAGAGGATTGAAGGATACTTCCTCCGGCGTGTCCTCTGACGTTCATGTTAGTGATAAATAAAGCAAAACCATTAGAATGCAGAATCTAGTTCAGGAATTTGTCCAACATACCTTGATGTAGTGGTGGTTATTCACTATTTATAAAGAATTCATGGGGGCACCTTTGTAGTTCGACTCGGCCGATGGAGTCAACTATCAGACTCCACTTTACACACGTATGTAGCCAGTTGAGTCAGTCAGCTTTGTATTTAATGAAACGGTTTGACAGAATGACAGAAGCATGGGCGATGCTCGACGAGTCATTATGACTTTGGCTCGAGAAGTCATTATAACTCTAGTCGTGCATTTAATATGATTGCGACTGAGCGGTGAAGTATGGACGCCAACTAGCCATGCATTAAATGTGAATGGCATTAGTGAGGCTGATAGGTCATTCCGTCTATTGAAACATTCTCTAGTGGAGTCTGATCAGAATATGCATTTCATCTCAGACTCATATTTTTTTAATAAATCTCGAAGATGTCTTTTATCTTGGACGCATATCGTTAGAGAGATTGGCAGTGCTCACATCTGGTCAGGCTTTTAGATTGTATGACTAGACCCGTTAATGTGACACGTGACTAACTCTTAAGGCTCATTAAACTTGGCGATTTATAGAATACGACATAAAATAATTTCACTTGTTATGAATGTAATACCCCAACCCTTGAGAGAGTAATGTGATTAGTATTGATAGATTTGATTGGAATACTCATACCACCAAGATGCATCTTCTTTTCGGAAACCCAATTCTTAGAAACTCCAAAGTTAAGCGTGCTTGGCCTGGAGAAATTCTAGGATGGGTGACCCCCTGGGAAGTTTTCCAGGGAGCGCGTGAGTGAGGACAAAAACGTGTTGAAAAGATATGTGGTGGTTTGTGAGGTCAGTCCATCAAATCTAGTAGCGTACCGACTCTGGGATTCCGGGGCGGGGCGTTACAAATGGTATCAGAGCAAAGCCAACCGGAATTGTGAGAGCTAAGTGCTATATGGCGCAAAGTACTACGTCGAGAGGGCGGGAGCCACCTCTTGAGGCCGTAGGAGCCACCTCTAGAGTCTCACACGGATGGTACGGTCTTGGATGATATGATTTGGCACAACGAGGACGTTGTGAGTTTAAGTGGGGGAGTATGTAATACCCCAACCCTTGAGAGGGTGATGTGATTAGTATTGATAGATTTGATTGGAATACTCATACCACCAAGATGCATCTTCTTTTCGGAAACCCAATTCTTAGAAACTCCAAAGTTAAGCGTGTTTGGCCTGGAGAAATTCTAGGATGAGTGACCCCCTGGGAAGTTTTCCAGGGAGCGCGTGAGTGAGGACAAAAACGTGCTGAAAAGATATGTGGTGGTTTGTGAGGCCAGTCCATCAAATCTAGTAGCGTACCGACTCTGGGATTCCGGGGCGGGGCGTTACAATGAATATCATTATATCAGCATGGTGATTTTTAATTCGTGTATATATATACACACACAGTTAACAATGGTCATAGTCCATGACTTGCTTAATTTTCTACTTGACCTCTTGCTAGTAGCCAACAAGTTTTTTCCTTTTCTTTTTTCTTTTGTAAGCACCTCAGGCCCAGCAGTCTAATTGGGCGGAACACTACAGCCCCTTCCTAACTTCTTTCATAACAATCTTAATTTGGAAGTTATATATCCAATAGCTCCACCCATAGGTAAGGGGCTGTTTGGTTGTTTTCTTTTGCCCCTGATTCCCTACCAAAACTGACAGATTGCTGTCAGTTTTGGCAGCTTTCTTGCCAAAACGCCTCTAAAAAGAGGATAAAAAGGATGTTTTGGCAAGAAAGCTGCCAAAACTGACAGCAATCTGTCAGTTTTGACAGGGAATCAGGGCAAAAGAAAACAACCAAACAGCCCCTAAGAGAAAATTAGCACATTGTTTTTACTTTTTTTTTTGGGGGGTTGGGAATTGGTAAGGAGTTATATGAAATGTTTTTGTTGTCCCTTTGGCATTCGACACGCATTCAATTTGATTTCCCATTTAGTTAGGGGACACGTATGGAGGTCTAAATTAAATACCTTATCACATTATCAAGGATAACTAAGATGAATGAAGGGGAATACTTGTAATATCAGCAACATGAAAAGTGAACGTAGAAAGATTAATATGGTACTCGAATGAATTGTGCATCATTTCGATCGCACTAAAGTATCTAGTGCCTTAAATGCTGACATTGTTTGGTTGATGCATTTAGAATGCTGACAGATATATGCGTGTAGTTGATGGTAGATGAACCAGGAACTGCATGCTAATTTCTGTCCTTGTTGTAGTTGTTAGATTTATTCATTAATTGATTTATACAGAATCATAATGTCCAACAGTTGATTCAAGTTGTAGGAGGCAGCCCAACCGTCGCTAATAAATGTCTTGTTGCACAAATTTAGTATGTAAGAAAATGATGGGTTTGATTTCAGAAACTCAAGCCGTTTTACAGTTCAAAGTGTCATAAGGATGACTGTGTTGAGTTCCGATATGCTAGTTTTATATATATTTTTCTGTAGTCCTGTCAGCTTGGCTGTACATTATATTAAGTTGACACAAAATTGAGATTAAGGGAAGATACTTCCATTAGGATGACGGTAATTATCATTATCCTTTGTTTTATGCTGAAAGTACTTTACGAATTGATCGTATTATACATACTGGATAACGAATGAGGATATTATATTTGACTTTTTTTTACTGTAAGCAAGTTAAGATAGATTCGTCTGGAAGGTAACAATATAACATGTCACAATACTCTCTAGATGCATTTCACGAGCTTACAGACTTAAAAGATTATTTCTGGCTAACAAGACACATATAAGAGGTTATTGAATATTATAGTTTGAAGATGCATTTTGCTAAATGAATTGTCAAGAAGTAATAAAGGCAAGACATGCCTATTGGATGTGATTAGCATGATTGTCTCACCGTTTGATTATTTTTGTTAATGGTTTGTTTATCAAATTGAATTGTCATATCGTATTCTTTTTTTCGATATATTCACTAGAGATCTATTTGAATTCTCTAAACTTTTGTGAGCTGAAACTACAAAATAATGTTTTAAATACATCAAAAGCAGACTACAAAAGATAAGCGAAGCTTGCTGACCAATTTAATTCTTGTAGTAATTTTCTGTAAATCCAACTTGTTCTTCTAAGCGTTGATCGATCTTCGAGGAATGAAATACAATGACGTCAGAATTGTTAAAGGACCTGCTATACAGCTTTTCTTTCAAGTATCAGCCTTGAGTAGTTGGCATTTGGAAACGAAATTCATGGAAATTAATATACATATATAGACTGGAAATGAATTTTCAGTTTAAAAAAATGCATGAGTATGGCTTACGTGTCAAAGTGGCATGAGCATTTAAGTCCTGCATGCACATGTTGGTTGTTAGTTGAGTATCTGGCTCAAGAAAACTAAATGCTCCCAACTTTAGCAAGTTAAGAATCTCTTTCAATTTTCGGTCTTCGCTGTTTTGTTTTGGCAGTCACAGACTCACAATGCTATTGCTTAATTAGGTCCGACATATTATTAATTACTAGGTTTTATACACGTGCAATGCACGTGGTTGATATCATGATTAACTATTTTTTGGTTTTTTTCCTAACTAAAGTTTGTTCATCGGTTCCACTTTAATAGTTTGTGCTTACTTTTGTCTCTAAAATTTATCATTGCGATTATTTATTTTCTTTGATGTTTGTTTAAATGTGCTATATCTAACTTAAATTTTCATGCTGATATAATCTGAAGCTAATTTAAATTTTTATATTATTTGGACTAACATAAAACCAAACTTTACTTGAGAAAGTATAGCGTTGCGAAAATGAAAAATATTGAAACAGTGTTATACAAGAAAAGTGAATATTTAAAACTAATAAGGCAAGGTGATTGATTAAAAGTATGCTAAAACGATACAAAATAGAATATAAAATTTATTCCTAATCATTAATAGACTTCATAAAAATTATAAACTA